TAGATTAAGTGCTGAGGAAGAAATAAAGGGGGGGGGGGTTGCCTTCTTTTTTTAAAAGCCTATATATCTCTCTGTATCTATTTAATAATACATTTATGTGTAGATCTAGTTGTAGAAAGAACGCTGTATTATTGTTAATTAGTAATTTAGATATAGATTTTCTAGTGCGCCTCGGCGCCCATGTAAAAAAAAAATCAACAAGAATGAAGCCTCCCCTATTGCGTATGAGAGAGAGAGAAACATGCCTAGCCCATTGCTTTAGCATGAACTCCTTCACACAACTTGCCACAAAAAACATGGCGGACGCCGCTTTCAAATGTGGCCGTCGCGCAACAAGGCGAGAGAGGGGCGTGCTGTATCTAGTCCGTATAGTGTACATCTATGGGCTGACCTCAGTTATCTCCCGCGACCGAGTGGCCAGGCCTGGGAACTTTTTGTCACACTTTCCCGGCCCTACTTTGACCTGAATACTTTCGAGAAAAAAATTTGCCCCGATCCCTACGCCTCAGAAAGTTTTGAAGGATGGACCCACCTTATTGCTCATAGGGGATTACGATTTTTGAAAACAATCAATTTCGGCACATTTTTGTGTATTTTTGAAATATGTTAGCGTATTTCCTGAACTGTTCAGATGTTTGAAGAACAAAATTTTTATTCCTGGAATAAGTAAAACATGCGGGCTCTACTTTTTCTAGTGGTTTGATTTCATTGAGGAAGTCGGCGAGCGCACTCTCACCTGTTTCTGAACTGTTTCATTGGTTTCCGATGAGAGACGCTTGACAGAAGAGTGTGACAGACATCAAAACATGTCATGAAACTAAGCTATCTTTCCCATTCTGCCAAACCTTGCAGATTTAAACACGTTTATGGCAGAGTGTTTTTCAGTGAACTGTTCAGAATGGAGTCGGACGACAAATGCCTCACGAAAGCCCTGCGCACCACTTTGATTGTTTTATTTACTTTGCAGTTGGTAAGGAGATACCTCGCCCTCAGCGATGCGGAAATGCATTTTGAGTGGAATCATGTTGTGTTCTTTCGTAAATCAAAAATGAGTCGAAGAATGGGATGGGTTTGACAGAAACTGTAAAATTGAAAGGTCCACATGGGATGTTTAGATCTAGATTCTAGGTCTAGATCTAGTGTCATCTAGATCTAGATTTATAGATCTAGATCTAGTCTAGAGTCCACCTTAACCTAGGACAGGTGTTGTTTAGCAAGACTAAGACTAAAGTAACTCCTAACTGTGAGTCAGTGTTGTTTAAAAACAACACTGACACTGACTCACAGTTTGGGTTACTAGATCTAGAGATCTAGATCTAGATCTAGATCTAGATCTAGATCTAGATCTAGACTCTAGATTTTCTAGATCTAGAATCTTGTAGTTACCTAACAAGTTAAGTTGTAGTTTATAGTCTGACTGTGTATAGTATATATCTAGTGTTCTAGTCTCTGTCTATATTATTAATATATGTTAGGAAGAGGCTAGGCGTACTTAATGACGGCTAGACTGGCAGTCTAGCCGTACTTAACTCATTCGCTACGTATTATTTTCGGCTTGTGGACGAATTCTTTTCAGGAGGGCGAAATGAGATGATGACTAGTGCGCAGTTCACAGGTCTTTGGGGCCATAAATTCAAATAAATATCAACATATTATATACCAACTTTTTCAGTATGGTTTGTAGAATACACCTGCATTATTTATTTGCGTATTTTTCAACTTTGATTCCTGTAAGAGGCGATTATGCAACACAATTGTGATTGGATGCGGATAAAATTGGAAAATAAAAATTTTATAATCTCAGGTGAAACTAAAAAAACATGTTTGCACCTAATCAAATGATACCTCAAAATAACCATAACTGTATATAGAACAGGAAAATATTGAAAAATGTGCAGTTATTTACATACATTCCATAATATTTGTACATTTGGATCATAACATCCGATACTGAAAAAAAAATAATTTTTAAAATAATTTTGAAAAAAGGATCACAAACAGAAAAAATATGCGTAACTTATATGGAATCATTCAGAATTGCACTTGGAATAAACCTATACATGTCTTGAGTGGTACTTTTTGATTAATTTCACCCAAAAGTAGTGATTTTGGGGAGAAAAAAATATATTGAGTATTTAGATCTAGGCCTAGATCTAGCACTCAAAAATATTGATTTCTCAATTACAGTGCACCGTCAATTTGTGTCCGATAGTATCAATATATTATAAAGAAGAGTCCTACACTTCTTTAGTGAGCAAAATAATTATACATTTTGTTGTGTAAAAGTACTTAGACTGGTGTCTGGGCTATAATTTGGGCTTCGCGATAAAACAAAGTCGAATAAACTACGAAATCATGTTTCAAAACTGAATCAAACCTTCCGATTTTCGGTGGAAACGCTTGACCCGGAAGTCAACATTATATTATGACCTTTATTTTAACATGGATAAGTGGATTGGAATAGAAACCAAGCTAAAATTGAACGTTGGTTCTCGAGCCGCCGGGGGCGGCTAAACGTACTGACGGCACTTGAGCCGCGCCGCCCCCCACGGCTCGGCGTAGCGAATGAGTTAAGTATGGCTAGACTGACCATTTACAAAAAATAGGCTTACTGAATTGTAAATGGTAGTGTCAATTGCCACCGAGTGACGCGGTGGCAATTGACAAAAAATGACTTTTTGTCAATTGCCACCGAGTAAATTGGAGCTCTTTTACGTTGGTGGGTAGATCTAGCTTATTGTTGTGCTCGAGTGCTCGGTGTTGTGCGTTCGCCTCTCTGTCCCACTGTGTGTGTGTGTGTGTGTGTGTGTGTGTCTTTTCCTGACCCCTGTCCCCCGATTTATGTTCCCTGATATAACGTGAATTTCGGCTTGAGTTCGCGTGCGTTTGTGACCTTCTACTTCTAGATCTAGAATTGCCTGTGTTGGTTCTACACCATAGTCTAAGTGTGTAGGCTAAGGCTAGCCTCAATCTAGATATGTCTCATTGAAAACACGTCAAGTTGGTACTGTAGCTCTGGACTAGTCATCCAATGAAATTAGTAATTAGTTGAGAACAAATTGACCCATTAGACACACATTATGTATAATGCTAAAGATAGTGTTGTTTTCAGACTTGACACCACTTCACTCGGTGGCAATTGACAAAAAGTCAATTTTTGTCAATTGCCACTGCGTCACTCGGTGGCAATTGATGCTACCATTGTAAATATACATTTTTAGTGTGAAATACCTAAAGTATTTGAATTTGAGACGAAACCAGGTGCCTTTAATGACAGTGCATGTATTTTAAACCTCCTGTTTTCTAATGTTAATAGGGCCTAAAATAAGTGTACTTCATATTGATGGCTGAATTGTGAATGGAATTTTTAGTTTGCATTGCCTAAAGTATTTGTATTTCAGACAAGACCAAAAGGTGCCTTACTGACTTGCATGTATTTGAACCTGAATAATTACTAGATCTAGATCTAATGTCACTAATGAGACCTGTGTACTTAACAGGCTTGAGTCGATTGGGCCAAACCTAGATCTAAGTACGGCTAGACTGGCAGTCTAGCCGTACTTTAGTACGGCTAGCCACTTCGATATATGACATGTCTTCTTTTGAGAATTGTGAAGTCTAGATCTAGATTCTTAACTGTAGATGAGATATAGACTAGACTTGGGGATTCTAATTTCTACTTTTAAGTATGAAAGTGGCTATTCTCACCCGCCCGGAAGTTCTCGCAAGATCAACTCCTCCCCTCTTCTCTCTCTCTCTGTCTCTTTCTGAATACTGTCTATCGGTGTGGACGATCAAATTGACCAAAACAAAGTTAAAAAATGATGTTAAAACACAAAAGTAAATTAATTTGGTTGTCTACAAAGATGCTACGGCTATTTAACTTTTCGAATCGAGCCGAACTACGCGGGTCGCCATTTTGTTTTGCCCGGAAATTCTCGCGCTACTCCTCTCTCTCTTTCTCTCTCTCTCTCCACTGCCCACAGACAAAATTGTACGCTTTTAGTAGGCTACAGTTGTAATGGAACGTTTGTTCACGGCACAGAATTCTACAATTTTTCTGTTATCACAGTGTAGAATTCTGTGGTTTAGGGTGAACGCAAAATTTGGTGAACGCGCACCGGGTGAGAATAGCCACAAGACTCGCCTGCACTATTCTCACTCCAGGTGAGAATAGAGGTGGCCTTTAAGTATAGCCTACAGGACCTGGTTACAATAAGGACCTACTAAGCCTTTGATGATAATGATGATATACAATTTTCCAGTGTGGGTGATGCTTGTGTGCTGTTTTCAGTTTGTCCCCCCTTCCATTTTCAGCAAATTTCTAAAACAAAACCCCAAAATGACCCCCAGATCTAGGTCTACACCTTCAATTCAAAAACACATAAATATCTGAATGGATTTTACTGAAAAAACGTTAATTAAAAGCACAAAAAATGTAATTTTGTAAACTAACATTTTCTAAGGACTCCTCAAGCTTTAGAAGGCATCAAACTTTGGCCGCCATTTTCTCACCAATTTTCAACTCAGAAACCAGACGACCCCCATCTCCTTTTATCACAAATATTTCGACTTCTGTTCACTCTACTCTTCAGGATAGATTGTTGTTTTTTTCATCGAAAGAAAGACAAATGAACAAGCGTTAAGATGAAACCAATGATTCTCTGCATTTGACGAGTGCCTGATTCCACCAACTATATTATATAGTTTTTACCATTGTAGAGCACATTGAGCACTTTCCTTGTGGAAATAGGCTGTATAAATGTAATTTATTGTTATATATGGAAGTGGCTATTCTCTGACGTCGCGCCAGTGAATAGAGGTCGATGGCTATTCTCCGGCGTCACGTATAGTTGCCCACATGTCGCTTCTCCACAGCTTTCCATCTCACCTGTCGGAACGTTCATGGCCATTATTGTTGCAACCGAGTTCAGTGCCAGATACGCCTTCTTGTTCTTCTGGATATGACTGAGGGTTGTTGGCGTTTCTGGTGCTGTCACCTCTGATGCATAAATACCTCCTTCTTCCGCCGTCACTGGTGCTTTCATCGAGTAGAGGCTGCGTGTCCACCTTTGGTGAATCGCATTCTGAAGAAATGCCGACCCGACCCTGATCAGTGTCTGTGTGTAAGGCCTTAACGTGACAACAGGGGGAGATGGAAAGCTGTGGGAGGAAAGACATAGTGCAACTATTTTACGTGATGCCTGAGAATCAGGATCGACATCGGTGTATTGACCGGCGCGACCTGGAGAATAGCCACTTGCTATTTATTATCATTCGTAAATTATTATTATCATCATCATTATTAACATTATCATTACTTTTATTTTTATTATAAGTATTTATATTAATTAGAATATTATTATAATTATAATTTTTATTATTGCTATAATAATATTGTATTGTAATTGTTTTTTTTCCTCCCTGGTAGGTGAGCACCGTAGAGAGACAGGTGTTTGACTTCTTGGGGTACATGTGGGCGCCCATCATCGGCAATTTCTTCCAGATCATCGTTGTTATTCTCGGCATATTTGGTGCTTGGAATTTCTACAAGTCTTTCATTGTGGTGGTGAGTTTCGTTACGTTTTCTGAGAAATTTGTGTAAGTAGGTATTGTTTGCTTGGTTTTTTTTTTTGTCTTTCCCTAGTCTCTTTTTTCTTTTTTGGTCGAAGAAGAAAGGTTTATGGACAGTTGTAGTAGAGATAAAACGAGTGATCCTAACAATCGTGTGATTTGGCTGATGAGTTTAGCAATTACAAAACAGTGGAGAAATTGTTTTTAATGCAATGCTCTTCTAATTAGTTAGAGTCTTTAAGTTTTCATTATAATTAGTTTTTTTAAATGGCACTTGCAGCATAGTTCATACTAATGGAAGTGCCAAAGATTAGAATAAAGAAAAGGAGGAGATATTTAAAGGATGATAGGAAGGAGCAAACCACACAAGAGCACCTGCCAGGCAGTTCTAATGTTTTGAAGCATTTCTATAAGTTTTATGTTTTGTTAATCTCTGTGAAGGATGTTTGGTGTAAAGGTTTGAAGAATCTTCACTGCTGTGCGTGGGTCGTTAGCAGGTGCTCTGGTTTAGTTTGCTGCTTCTTTACTATCAAACATCTGTCTCCCCCCGGGGCAGTGCCACTGACTGTAGTGTCTTTCGGCCATTCCGAAAAAGGGGACATTTCTCGTTCAAGCACAGTAGAATTGTAAATGGTCTGATTCATCATGTCACACTCATAACTGTGCCTGATCTACAGCAGGGAACTGCTGCTTTTTCTTTCCTAATCCTTACTATTGTCATTTTTTCTCTACTTCTTTTGTATGTTTGTCACGCTCTTGTGACCAGCTATTTCCGGGGTGCCTTGATAGTCGAAGAAGCAGACCTTGTGCTGTTGAAGCTAGAGAGGTGAGCAGAGTAAGTCCGATTCCTTGTAAAGACTTCTCTGTTGACACCCGCCCCTTGGCGCTCTTTTGACCTTATGCAGTTGCGAGCGCCGTAAAACCCTCTACTATATTTTAAAAAAAAACAGGTTTGAAGAATCTTCACTGCTGTGCGTGGGTCAGTAGCGGGTGCTCTGGTGTGGTTTGCTGCTTCTTTACTATCAAACATCTGTCGTCCTGATCTTCCCTTTTTCTTTTTTGTGTTTGTTACTCTCTTGTAAGACGCATAAATAGAGCTTGCTGTAGAACGTGGATCGATATATGCGTTATATAATATATATATTTGTATATATATATATATATATATATAAATAAATATTTTTATAATGTATATATGGATATATATATTTATATATATGTATGCAATTTTTATTATCATTGCTATTATTTTATCATTATTATTACTACTCTTATTATGTTTGTTTTCAGTATGCAACCTGGAGCCTGTTGTGGCTAGGGTGGAACATTTTCGTCATTTGTCTTTACTTAGAAGTGGGAATTCTCAACCGGGTAAGTAGGCGAAATCTTGATTGATTCATACTGCTGATTGGATTTGGTTTGTTGGGTTCAGGAGCAATTCTACATTTGAAGAGAGCGTGTGAGCTCTTTTGCTAGTTGATATTTATTTCTCCCTCATCAGTTTAATTCATCAGACATAATTTATCCCTTCTTCCAGATCAAATATAGATCTCTATAAACCTGATGTCGCCTCTTTCAGTTTTGTGTTTCTTACTCTCTCGTAACACCTCTAGTCTTCAGCACCCGTATGACCTATTCGTGTTGCAAGCACCGTAGTTTAAGAAAACATTATATGTGAGGCGTGCTGACAAAATGAGTTACTTTTCGCAATCCACAAATGGAGATATTAGCCAAAAATTGACACTATGGTCAAATTTGTAGATGTTCTATTGATGCCATATTCTTTAAATATAACAAGCCTTTAATTATTTTCATTCTTATAATTTTAATAACTTCATCTGTCAGTGTAATGTATCTATTTTCATGGGGCTCAAATCGGAAAAGTAACTCATTTTGTCAGAACGCTTCACATATCTTGTCTTTTCTTTGTTCTTAATCACCGCACCAAGTCAATCTACTTCTCTAAACTCCAATGGTTGGTTGGCGGGTGCTCTGGTGTGGTTTGCTTCTTCTTTCCTATCAAACATCTATCGTCCTTAAATCTCACCTTCTTTTTTATGTTTGTTACTCTCTTGTAACACCTCTAATCTTCTGGCGCTCTTATGGCCTTATGCAGTTGCGAGCGCTGTAAAACCTCCACTAAAGAAAAAAACACCAAAAAAATCTTCTGGCGCTGTTATGACCTTATGCAGTTGCGAGCGCCGTAAAACCTCTACTAAAATTTTAAATACTCCAGCAAACTTATTTGACCTCTACCCCGTTCTAAGTGACAGTTGTCACATCAGTGTAGTTGTGTAGTTCTCTTTTACTCTTTACATTTAAAGATCTTACCCTCCCACAAGGGCAGTACGACTGACTGAAGTTGTCTTTAGACCATTTCCAAAGGGGGGATATTAAAACATGTTCTTATGCACAGTTGAATTGTAAATGGGCTGATTTATCAATGTCATGCTCATACTGTGCCGGAACAACATAGGGGGAACTGCTGCTTCTTTCCTCATCCTTACTGTCGTCATGTTTCCCATTTCTTCTTTTGTATGTTTGTCACTCTCTTGTGACCCGCTATTTCCGGGGTGCCTTGTTACTTGATAGTCAAAGCAGACTTTGTGCTGTTGAGGCTAGAGAGGTGAGCAGAGTAAGCCTGATTCCCTGTATGGACTTCTCTGTTAACATCTACCTCTTGGCGGTCATATGACCTTATGCAGTTGCGAGCGCCGTAAAACCTTACTAAAGAAAGAATCTTACCTTTTCTCTGTACTAAATGACCACTTTAACCCTTTACTTCAACCCTCCCCCACCTCTCCTCTCCTCCCCCCTCATCCCTCCTCCCTCTCCCCCTCCCTCCCCCCCCCCCCCCCCCCCCCCCAAAAAAAAAAGAACCGGGAGCGTTACATCCTGACCATCGGCACGGACAGCAAGAGCTGGTGGCTGGAGCACGGGATTGGCTGCGAGATTGCCAACACGTCGTGGATGGACGAGGAGGAGGAAGTCTACGACTCAGGTCGCCGCATCCCACCCGAGTCGTCTGTGGTTGGCTGCATCCTGCAGTACTACTACGTGGAGGTCATTCACGCCGCTGTGCAGTGCTTCCTGTCTGTGAGTGCGGTTGAAATTAGTTGTTGTTTTTTTTCATTTTTACATGCGCACACGCATGCATGCATGCATGCGTGCGGACACACACACACACATACATACACACACACATGCATGCGGGGACACACACACACACACACACATACACACACACAAACAATTTTGTGTTTAACTTACACTCCTGTTGATAATTTTTATATGTGATATCTCGTTTTACAAAAGGTCTCTTTACTATTCACGCCTCAGTGCAGTGCTTTTCTGTCTGTGAGTGCAGTAGAAATGTTTTTTATACATGCACATACATACATGCATGCATGCATGCATGCACACGTCACACACGCACACACACATAATTAATTGTGTTTAACCAATACAGGTGGACGCCTTACACAGTGTCGTTAAGAAAAAATGATTAAACGTCAGGGGTCGGGGAGTGTGGGTGGAAAGTGGTGGTTTGTACAGGTGTGATTGTCTTATGCAGCATTGAACCAGTGTTGTGTTTGTTTGTGAAGTTTTCAAGGCTCTCAACCCTTTTGGCTTTGTCCTGTTGGAGACTGACGTTAGGAATTTGGCGCTCCCGCCACTTCCTTCTTCTTTTTTTTTCTTCTCGATCGCGTCACACTTGAAGATTGGTATCTCATAAATTGGGCCGTCCTGCTCAGTTCATCTGTGGGCCCGTATAGCTTCTGCTCCCGCGTCTTACATAAACCTTATAGTGCTGAAAGGGGTGTTAAATCAGATACACTTACTTTACTGAATTTGATTTATTTATAACTAACTGGGCCCCCTCTCAATGAAAGGAATGATCAGTGCTTTAATATCAACTAAAAGTCATAATTGTAAGGTCTAGATCTACACTCTCAGAACAAAATGCGCCTCGCGAAATATCACTTCCGGATTTTCTAAAATTACAGAGACAGAAGTGTCGGCATATAAAAGCGATCGGGGAAAAAAGAAATTTAGCTTTTTGCAGCTAAACCATCTCAAAACTGAAAAAACCAAGGGCGTCATGCTCTGGAGAATATTTTAAAGAATCTTTTGGCGAAAATCGCATGTCGATCGATGTAGCCATTAAAAAACCTTTTGAATAGCAAAATTCTGCCACCACAAATAGATCATAGATTTTTATGACGTTCTTGTTGTGGGTGGTAGGTGGGTGCCCTCGTATGGTTTGCTTCTTCCTTCCTATCAAATTTCTGTTGTCCTTATATATTATCTCTTCTTCTTTTCTTCGTATTTCTTCACTCTCTAGTAACACCTCTAATCTTCGGCACTTGTTTGACCTAATTGTGTTTTTGCAAGTGCTGTTATAAAACTCGAACCAATTCTAAAGTTCATGTTATGATTTTGTTCCCTCCCTCCCTCCCTCCCTCCCTCCCTCCCTCCCTCCCTCCCCCCCCCCTCCCTCCTTCTCTCCCTCAGCTCGCTGGGTTCGTGGCTTCATGCGTGTCCATCTACTCCTTCATGGAAGAGGACGACCCGAGTAAGTATGGGCGCCGCAACCGCCACAGTCGCACATCCCGCCCCTCTCTCACGCACGTAGAATCCCCGCTCTTACTCACCCCCCTCACTTCCCAGCGGAGGTTCCGGAACGCCCCTCCGGCCCTTGACCTGACCTCTACTTTCCTCTGGTCCTCCTCTTCCTCTCACTCCCACCAGCGGGCTCGGGCGCGAGAGCTCTCGCTGGGTCTCCCCTCCCTCCCTCACATCGACTTCCCTCGTTCGCCGTGCACCGGTCCTGGCAGAGGCATCAGCAGCAGCGGCGGCGACGACGGTGATGATGGTGACGGTGTTGTTGTTGGCGGTGTAGATTCCGCCGATCGTCACTCCACGACCGGCACAACCGTCACTTCTGCTGCGTCGTCGCCTGTTTTACTGACGGCGCCGTCGTCGCGTTATCAGGGCCCGTCCAATCAGATCCAGACGTTTGTCAACTCCATGTCCAACTCTGTGTCCAGGAGCCAACATGGCTGCTCCACCTTCTTCTCCTATCAAGCTTTTCGGAGCTGGCAGGAGAGCAAAGTTTCGGGCAAGAGCCGTCGTAATGGTTACGGGGACAACAGAAAGCATTCGGACTTTGAAAATAGCAGATATTCCAATACTGGTGGGCGAACGGAGCGTATGGAGGATGAAGATAGAAGGCATTGTTCAAATTCTGACCAGCAAACGAAGCATTTGGAGGATGAAAACAGAAAGAGATATTCAAATACTGAGAGGCAAAGGAAGCATTTGGAGGATGAAAACAGAAAGAGATATTCAAATACTGAGAGGCAAAGGAAGCATTTGGAGGATGAAGACAGAAAGAGATATTCAAGTAGTTACAGGCAAAGAGAACGGTCAGATGATAAAGTCGCTGGGAAGTGTTCAGTTAATGGTAGTACTAGTAGAGCTGTGGGACAGCACGACGGTGAACGTTGTCAGAGACTCGCTGCAGAAGGCCAAGCTGTCGGAAAACAGTCGGCTACAGGCAGGACTAGGAAGCCTGCCGCTAGTAAAGTCACAGCGGGGAAGTTTTCTGATGATTGTAGAGTTGGGAGACGTTTCGGTGATGAAGTTATTTGGAGACGTCGCGATCACCAACTCACTGGGGAGTCGGGGGACGATAAAAGAATTTCAAGACAATCTTCTCAATCAGATGTTGAAAGTCGTGGGGGACTTTCTGAAAATAAAGGCGGCGCGAGGCGTCTGGATGTCGAGGGTTTTTGGAGAGAAACAGACGCTGAAAGTGGCGGGCAGCGTGCGGTTAATGAAGGTTTTTTGCAGTTGACCGAGTCTGAAGACAGCGGGGAATGTGGGGAAGGGGACAGGACTTCTGTGTGTGCTGACGGTACAGCTGTTGTTGGGTCCGCTACGTATCGCGTGTCCCGTGACCTACTTAATTCCTCCGCAGATCCTGGCGGAGCTTGGGGTCGGAAGAAAGTCTGGGTGTTGCATACGGAGTTGTAGGTCCTGCCTGTTGTGGTCTGACGACAAGGGAGGAATTATGGAGAGAGAGAGTAGATGGAGCGTTAAAAAGCTGAAAGTCTCAACGAGGAATTGTGGAGGAGAGAGAGTAAATGGAACATGGAAAAGCTGAAAGTCTAATGAGGAATTATGGATTTAAGAGAGTAGTCGGAACATGGAAAAGTTGAAAGTCTAATGAGGAATTATGGAGCAGAGTGAGTAAATGGAACATGGAAAAGCTGAAAGTCTAATGAGGAATTGTGGAGGAGAGAGAGTACCTTTTGTCGGAACTTGGAAATCAAGAAGTAATTTGGGCATGGAAATCAAAGAAATCAGGGAAGAATTTGGACATGAAAGTCAAAGAAAAATCTGTACGATGGAATCAAGAAAGAATTTGGAAATGGAAATCAAGAATTGATTTGGGCACGGAAATGTAATTTGGAAAAACAATCAAGAATTAATTTAGGCCATGAGATCAATAAATAATTTAGACTCAGTAAAATCGAGAAATAGTTTAGACTATGAGATCAAGAAATCATTTGAACTGGGAAATATAATTTGGATGAAGAAATGATTTGGACTAGGAAGTATGATTTTGGAAAAAGATATATATATCTAGAGATAATTTAAACAGTGGGATAGAACATGATTCCTTAGTGGAAGCAGGCTCCTCTCCGTAGAAAAGAGATAAAATCTGTTAGGTTGTTGGGTTTTTTCAGGACTTTTATGTTCCTATAACTCAGGATTTTGTCTTTGCCAATGTGCAATAAGTAAAAAGGTTGGAGGGGGGGGTTCTGTTAGTGTCAAGTTTTATATATATATTATTTAAGAGATGTGACTTTGGGCAGTTCTATAAGGTTTTTGTGGGGGTCTCAACGTCTTTTTTTCTCTCCCTGCCGTGAGAAACAATGTGGATGAGAGAGCACTCACTCTAGATGAATTGAATGAAGGCTTTCCTCCTCTGGTGTCGGTAATGCTGTCTCCTTATTTTTGTTCTCTGTTCATCCGACTAATCAATGTTCCAACTCCCCCCCCCCCCCACATACACACACACACACACACACACACCCACACACAAACCCACACCCCCTGAAATGGTCCCCGTCGAGAATCCACTTTTTGTCTTTTGTTTGTTTTGTTTGGCTCTTAGATTTTTATTTTTGTACTGAAATCTCACTGTTTACTGTTTATGTTATTTATAAAATGATAACAGTAATTATAATGTGCTTTTTTGTAACGCTGAACTCTTAGAAGGCTTTCAGCTATGTACGTTGCAGAATTTTCATTTAACACAACAAATCACAAGACAGAAAATATACTTTGTGGGACTATTCACACACACAGACACTCACACACACACTCACACACATACGCGCGCACGCATGCACACGCACACTCACACTCACTTACACACACACACACACAGACACATGCACACACGCATGCACACACACACACGCACACACAGACACACACACTCACACAAAGTTATATCGTTATCTTTGTGCCTACGTCTTAACTTTTCCTTTGTTCTGTCTGTCTGTCTGTCTGTCTGTCTGTCTGTCTGTCTGTCTCTCTGTCTGTCTGTCTGTCTGACTTTTTCCCGGCACTAAATGACCATTATTATTGTGTCAGTGTGTTTGTATTTTTACTAAAACCAAACAAGACTGTTTTACTTGGTCTATCTAATTTAATACCTTTACATTTTGAAAGATTTCTAAATCAGTTTTTATAATTTGTGATTGTGATGAAAGGTTTTTCTCTTGTTTGATCAATGAACTTTTGTAGTGGGTGGTTGGCGGGTGCTCTGGTGTGGTTTGCTCCTTCTTTCCTATCAAACATCTATCGTCTTTGTCTCCCCTCCTTCTTTTTTATGTTACTCTCTTGAAACACCTCTAATCTTCGGCACTTGTATGACCTTAATGTGTTGCAAGTGCCGTAAAACTCTTACTAAAACTAAAACCTCTTTTCTAAATTGTTTGTAAGTTACTACTCTCTCTTGTTGCTCTCCTAAATGTGTTGAACGTGCTGTAAAACACTTACGAAAACATAAAATCTCATCCTGGGTTGGCTCTGACAGGCAGGGTTGGAAGCCTACCTCCTAATTGAATGATTTGAATAAATTATGTTGATTCGGGTGGGGAAACACCTATGTTTAAAAAAAAAAAATTTGTTTTAAATCTATTGTATTATGATGTGACAGTGTTGCAAGTGACGTAAAACTCTTACTGTTATAAAACTAAACTTAAATAACCTAATAGTGTTGATAGGGGCGTTAAACCTATACCATTTCACAATTTCACCATAAAACTAAACTACTCTTGCACCACTCATAATTTGACGTTCGGCATTTGCGAGTGCTGTAAAACACTTATTTATACAAATGCCCAAAACTTCCCTTGCATAGTCTACAACTTTGAACTGTTGTTGAAGCTAACTCAACAAACTTCAGTGGGTGGTTGGCGGGTGCTCTTCTGGTGTGGTTTGCTCCTTTTTTCCTATTAAACATCCATCATCCTGATCTCTCCTCCTTCTTTTTTTGTGTTTGTTACTCTCTTGTAACACCTCTAATCTTCGGCACTTATATGACCTTATTGTGTTGCAAGTGCCGTAAAACTCTCTCACTAAAGACCAAAAAAAAATAAAAACCACTTACCAAAACAAATACCAAAAACTTCTCTTCCGCAATCGAAAACTTTGATTCAACTCACTTTCGTTGAAACGGAACCAACTCAACAATATTCACCCCCACCTTATTTTCTTCTTCTCCTCCCCCCCCCCACAGTGAGCTCAGCCAATGACGAGCTGGAGTTTGTCAAAATGCGGTACCGAACCCCGACGCACATGTCGGCGTACCGCGACGTGGACGATGACGGTGAGCACATGGCCTTCGACAACATCAACCTCACCACGGAGTTCACCCCGCACTCCCCAGCGGCCGGGGGTCGGCGCGGGGTCGGGGGACGCGGGGAACGCGAGCAGCCCCCGAGCTACGACACGACCATGCGGAACGTTGCCGCGGCAACGGCGGCCGCCAACCACTACTACGCGGCCGACCGGCAGAGCGTGCGCAGCAAGGCCAGCACTCGCTCCAAACGCTCCACACACCATCGGCACGGCGCGGGGGCGGGCCCGGGGAGCAGCGCCACATACAGCGAGCCCGTCCGAGACCTGCCCTGGGTCCAGATCACGCCCTCCACCAGCGCAGAACAGCACATGATCCGCCATTATCCGTAAACGGGATCCGCCATCATTATCCATTATAAACGTGATCTGCCATCATCATCCATAAACGTGATCTGCCATTATCATCCATTAACATGATCCGTCATTATCCGTAAACGGGATCCGCCATCGACATCATCCATAAACGTGATCCACCTTTATCATCCATAAACATGATCCGTCATTATCCATATAATATAACGATTTTTGTCGTGCTTCACACAACGTGGTTGTTACAGCAATACAAAATCGTTTCGTTCGACAGACGTGCTTCACAGTGTGGTTGCTATGGCAACGCGAAATCATTCCGCTGCACTTCACATCACATCATCGCTGCGGCAGGCGACATCATAACACTTTTTGGCCCTAGTTTGCCGCATCGTTGTCATGGCAACACATGATTCGCCACTGTCCCTTATCCCTACAGTTTCGTGTCGTGTGCTTCACCCTGTGGTTGCTATGGCAACAAATAAATTATGATCTGTCATTGATCTGACATCACTGATCACACCCCCCCTCTCCTCCCCACCCCTCTCCTCCCCACCTCCCCTCCAGTGAACACATATGATCATGTGCTGTGATTATCCGTAACATTTCGCCATCCATCACTACAAGGTTGCTACGACATCTCGTATTTCGTCGCTACGCTTGAGGTTGCTTCGTTCGTACGGCAACGTGTATTTTGCCGCTACGCCCGACATTTCACTCATCATTCATTGTTGCTTCGAGTTTGCTACAACGACAACGCATCAACGGGTATGTGTGTGAGTGGAAGGAAGTGTCCGTCGATTTCTTCTTTTTCTCTTCGCAGAGGGAGCGTGGTCCTGCCTAACTGATGTGCACAGACAGTTTATAAAACAATTTTTTTTCTTCGAGTGTGATGGCGAGCCACATCCCCAAAAATCTGGATCTGCGCTCAAGCGTTCTTCGTCATCCTCGTCTGGAACATTCTCAAGTACAGTCTTAATATGCACATGGTATGGGTAGGAGATTTTTCGGAAGGGGGGGGGGATTTTTGAAATTGCGTATCAACTGCTTAGTGTAAATCTCCGCCGTGCACCATTTTGAAAAGTGATGTAGGCCTATCACGAAGTCTTCTACGAAGCAGTCAGTTTGTTTTTTATATTTAAAATAGGAAGTGTCTACGTACTCCCCAATTGGGGTCTACGTAGTCATGGTATCTAGGTGGACCCCAAAATGTTGGATTGGGATTGGCTGTAGTTTACATTGGTTACAACAAAGATACTACACCCTACGGTAGGCTGTACTATCTTTGGTTACAATGCAAGGCTACTGATCATCTCGGGCGGTGTGTCGATCTAGTGTTACTATAGTTTTTTTATTTTAGCCCAGAGAAAGAGTATAATTTAATGAATAAACGTATCTAGATCTAGAATCTAGATGTCTAGATCTAGAATCTAAATCTAGACCGAAGTGCACACTCTTGGCTGGGTGCACAACAAAATCTAGATTTAGATCTAGATACGTTTATTCATTAAATACTCTCTCTCTCTCTCTCTCTCTCTCTCTCTCTCTCTCTATCTCTCTCTCTCTCTCTCTCTCTCTCTCTCTTTCTCTCTCTCTTGGCTAAAATAAATTAATTATAGTAACACAAGATAGACATACTACCCGAGATGATCAGTAAGTAGGCCTAGCAGCCTTGCATTGTAACCAATGTAAACTACCGCTCGCTCAGCGAGCCAATCACAATCCAACATTTTTGGGGTCCACCTAGTCACCATGACTATGTAGACCCCAATCGGGGAGTACGTAGACACTTCCTTTAAAATATCTGCATTGGGAAATTTGTACATAACATGAAAACATTTTTTTTCCTCATTCCTCCTGATTTCGCTATGGGCGTGCTTGACTATACTTCATGCCAAAATGGTAATCTTTGCCCCTTCCTTTGGTATCGAGTGAGTCTGGCTCGCGACTTTTTTAAAAATGCGTTTGATAGTGAAGGTGTCACATTTGAATGAAGTTGAAATCAGTCGAATTGTGCCATAGTGGTAGCTTTTTGCCCCTCCATGGAGGAAAATTTGGCTGGCCTAGACTCAATTGGACTGGGAGCATGCAGTGGGTAGTAAACTGTAATTCCCAGAAATGTCCCGACAAATTATATTTTAGGGGGGGGGCGAAGCAGCAGCAGCAGATTAGCTCATGAACAAAATTAAAGTGCGAGTGATTTGGCGTTTTCCGTCTGCATGTTTCGCTCTTGTATCGGCATCCTATCTACGGTTTGACCTCACCCTTCTTTAACCCTATCCGTATGCCCTGGGGTCACTTTGTAACCCCGGGGTTGTATTCTTCACATTTTAGAATGTTTCTAGTACGAGGGTCTCTTTGAAACTTTCGGTATTTCTCAAGAAATCATTTTGACAGACTGCTATGCTAAGCGTGGGGATCGTATCAACGAGCAAATTTCCTCTTTGGAAAGTTGTGGCACAGAGTTCCCCACGTCGTATGGATACGATAGTAAAACACAACGTACGAATAGGGTTAAGTGGTGGAACAGAGTTCCCCATGTTGGATGGATACGATAGTAAAACGCGATGTACGGATAGGGTTAAAAAAAAAAATAATGAAGAGAGAGGAAAAGCGATTCGTGGACCAGAAAAGGGCATCGCTGAGATCGTCAGATACGCTTGCTGGGCTTCTATCAGCCATTGCTCTCATCAATACTTTTGCATCAGGCAATCTATGGCGTTAGCTTACGCTACAAGACGTGTTCACTACGTTTTATTGGGATCTTTCTTTTTCTTTTTTTTTTCTTTTCTTTTTTTTTTTTTTTTTAGCTAATCAGTGTTTCTGTTACTATGGTGTAACGTGGGGGGGGGAGGGGGGGGGTAGGGGATTTAGCAATGAAGCGTAGAATTGTAGGTGGTTAGCAGGTGCTCTAGTGGGTTCTGTCTCCTTCTTTCCCATGAAACATCTATTGTCCTTATCTCTCCTCCTTTTTTTGTGTGTTTGTTACTCTCTTGTAACGTCTCTAATCTTTGGTACATTTTTTTATTTTTTTTTTTTTAGTAGACGGTTTTACGGCGCTCACAACTGCATAAGGTCATATGAGCGCCATCGGTACTTATATGACCTAACTGTGTTGCAAGTGCCGTAAAACTCTTACTCAAACTAAACAAAGTGACTGTTCTTGTGTCGGTGTGCTTCTCTTTACTGAAGCTCAAAAACTCAGATAAGTTACAGGCCAGTGTTTTTGCTCTTCCAAACGAAGCTTTTGGCTTTTGGCTTTCTTCTATAGTATTCCTCGAGTGAGTGGATGGGTGGAGTGTAAGTGTGAGTGTGCTCGTGCGTTTGTGTGTGAAATGATATCATGTGTGTGTGTGTGTGAGTTTTTCATTATCGTCAAGTGCCAGATCTGGGACAGACATCGGCGATCATGGTTTTTTCCATTCATTCCTTTGCTTGGATGCTTTCCAAAAAGCTATATATGAGGCAGCGTGGTGGAATCAGGCTCTCGTCTAAATAATCAAAGTGAAGAAACTTGCATTTTTCTGAAGGTTTGTGAATTTTTATCCAATTTTTGTTTTATGGTTCAACACCTTTCAAGCCCATTAATTCTGTGCGGATTTTTCTGAAAAACGTTGATTAAAGGTACAATAAATGTAAATTTTCAGTTGCCACGGACTCTTAAGCTAAGGAAATAACTAATCTTTGGCGGCCATTTTCTCACTAATTTTACCTCTGAAAACAGGTGACCCCCACCTCCTTCATTCGCAAATATCTTGTCTTGTATTCAAGATAAATGGATAATTTTTTCGTCCAAATAAAGACAAGTGAACAAGCTTTAAGATGATACAAGTAACTCTACATGCCCCAAAATTGACGAGAGCCTCATTCCACCACGCTGCCTCACATACATTATTCTGATCTATCCCGATCACCCGTCTGTCTGTCTAGGCTCACATTTGCCTTTTTTAACATTGCCAGTGAGAGCGAGATGTTCGAGGCCTTTGTGTCTGTTAATTCAAGTGTTCCAGAAGTTCAAAAGAGTTTTTCCACCGTCGAAAATGCGTCACGGCACGGTGGAATCAGGCACTCGTCAATTTTTGGGCATGCAGAGTTATTGGTATCATCTTTTTCTTAAAAGCTTGCTCATTTGTCTTATTTTCTATGAAAAAACTATCCATTTATCTCGGATTTATACAAGTCGGGATATTGGCATTTGAGGGAAGGTGGAGGTCACCCGCTTTCAGGGGGAAAATTTCCAAGAAAATGGCCGCCAAAGTTTAGTTATTTCCTTCGCTTGAGAGTCCGTGGAAACTGATAATTTTTTTTTTTTTTGGGTGCCTTTAATCAATGTTTTTTTCAATAAAATCTAATCAGAAATGTGTTTTTTATGGACGTTGAAGGTTTCGAGCCAAAAATACAAAAACTGGATAGAAATTGCCAAACCAGCACAAAGAAAAATGCTGATTTCTTCGGTTTCAGTATTTTGACGAGTGCCTGATTTCACCACGGTGCCTCACATATGTATAGAAAAAGGCGAAAGAGGCAGTTGGAAGAGGTTGTTTGTACAGGTGATTCTGGCATGCTACAGACAGGTGGCTGTTTAAGCATATATCGTTGCTGTCACGAGCAGTCCACTCAAGTGGATGGTTGGCGGGTGCTCTGGTGTGGTTTGTTTCTTCTTTCCTCAATCAAACATCTATCATCCTTATCTCCCCTTCTTCTTTTTTGTGTTTGTTACTCTCTTGTAACACCTCTAATCTTCTGGCGCTCATGTAATCTTATGCAGTTGCGAGTACCGTAAAACCTCTATTAAAAACTAAAAATGCACTCAAGTCTAAATTTGGAGAATTTTCTCGATTTTTACCCACCCTCCCAAAAGCTCTGTCAAAGATACGTCTTTCAGCATCTCCGAAAAAGCAGTTTAATGCTATGGTCAAGGCTTACAATTTCTTTTATTTTCATGATTCCTTTTATAGTCTTTGGTGTAAAAATTTAAAAAGTACCGAAACGGACTTAAATGGATTGCTTGCGACACCAATGATATTCCACTGTGTGAAATGTGTGAGCGAATCTTTCAGTATTTGATGTATTATAATTATAATGTACAATACATTTTTGTGAAATGTGTGTTTGAATATTTCGATATTTGATCCATTATAATTATAATATAATACATTGTTGTGGCATGTGTGTATGGGCATATTTCGATATTTGATAATATGTGCATATTTGTATATGTGTCACAACACAGTGAAATCAGGCACTCGTCAACTTTTGGGCATATATATATGGGGGTTTGGGTATCATCGTAATAAAGCTTGTTCATTTATCTTACTTTGAGGAAGAAATACC